CCCACCACCTGATGGGGACGAAGTCGGTCTTCGTCGACATGGGGCCGAGCGACGGGGTGAAGCACGTGCGTGGGTTCAACGGGGCATTACAGCCTGTCGAGGGTCGCGGAACCGTCGCTCTGCAAGGGGAGGCCGGGAAGCGGGTCCTCATCCCCGACGTACTTTACGTTCCATGCGTAGAGGCAAACCTGTTGTCTGCTGGCCAGCTGAAGGAGAGCGGAGTGCTGCTACAGGGCGATGGCGATGAGATGCTGCTCATCTCCGCGACTGGGGAGGTGCTCGGTCGAGCTCGCTACACCGGACGGATACTCTGCACCGACCTTCGCCCCTGCTCGACGCAGTCGCCGTCGACCGAGGTGGTGGCTCTGCGGACGATCATCTCCGCGACGAAGACGACCCCCGACAGGATGCATGCGCGGCTCGCACACGTCAGCCTCGACACGATCAAGAGCTCGGCAAAGCATGATGTTGCTACTGGGCTTGACATCACGTCGTCGACCGGAGCAGACCCGCCGTGTGTCTCGTGCGTCAGAGGAAAACTGGCACGCCACACCTTCCCCGCCAAGGGCTCGGATGCAGCGGAGGCGCTGGCTGTCGTGCACATTGACTTGTGCGGGCCATTTCGGGTGGCTGCCAAGGATGGCAGCTTGTACTTCCTACTGCTGAAGGATCGCCATACTCGATTCGTGTGGGCAATGCCGGTCGCTAAGAAGAGCGATGTGCTGCGGGAGTTCGAGAAGTGGCTGGTGCTTGTGGAACGACAGACGAAGAAGTCGGTTCTGTCGCTTCGCTCCGATCGAGGGGGGGAATTCCTCGGGAAGGCGTTCACCGATTTCGTTGACGGGAAGGGCATTGTCCACGACCTGACATGCCCCTACACCCCGCAGCAGAATGGCATGGCTGAGCGGGAGATGCACACGGTCGTCGAGTCCGTGCGGACGATGCTACTGCACATGGGCGTGCAGCATCACTGGTGACACCTTGCTCTACGACAAGCGGTCTGGGTGCGCAACTGCTTGGAGCGGTCGACGACGCCGCCGGGAACGACTCCGTACCAGTTGCTGACCGGGCAGAGGCCCGACCTTACGCTAGCACGGGTGTGGGGCTGCATGGTGCAGTTCATGGTTCCCGAGCAGCAACGAGGTGGAAAGCTGGCGCCGAAGGCTCGTTGGGGGCTTCACCTAGGTGTGTCGCCGGAGAGCAAGGGCTGGGAGGTGCTCGACCTGACCGACAACAAGGTGGTCACGTCGGTCGAGGTGATCTTCTACGAGACGCTGTCGCTGGAGGTGTGGAAGGCGAAGTATGGGCCGGCGTCAGAGCGGACGCAGGCGCACCCGCCGACGGACACCTCGACGGCGACGGTTCCCCTGCTCGCCGAAGTCGACGAGCCTGCTGATGAAGATGTTGTGGAGGTTCTTCCACCTCCCTCTGTTCTTGCTCCTCCCTCTCCCGTCGCCGATTTGCCTGCGCCGACACCAGTGTCGGCCACCGACGATGAGGGGAGCCTGGAGGCGTCGCCTGTGGCGCCGGCCAGTGGCATCGCCGGCGGACGACAAGGCGCCAAGCTCGTCGACTACGATGGGAAGCCGTCGACGACAAGGGAGCACCTGACAGGGGAGCCGGTCGAACAGGAGGCATCGGCAGGGGTACACTCGACAGGGGAGCGGCAGCTGGAGCGGTCGACAGGAGAGTTGTCGAAGGTAGCAGCAGAGGAACAGCCAGTCAAAGGGTCGAAGCAGCTGGTCGACGACGTTTTAGTTGATGAGAAAGGGGAGCTGTCGACGGGTGAGGAGTCCACCGACAGTGATGTAGTGGAAGTACCGATCACGAAGCCCAAGCTGCGACGTACAGGTCGAGCTCGACGGCCGCCGGAGCGGTTGAGCTTATATGCCTGTCTACCGCCAGCTGCCTTCACCACGGTGTACGACGAGGTCGACGACGACCTGCTGTACGATGATGCCAAGGAGGATGAAGACCTGCTGGAGCTCGACCCTGACGTGCATGCCGTCCCCGAACACTGCTGGGACATCGCCACGATGACGGTGAAGGAGGCGCTGTCGAGCTGGAAGGGTGAGGCGGTGAAGGCCGCCATGGAAGAAGAAATCCGTAGCCTCATCACTATGGGGACTTGGGAGCTGGTCGAACGCCCACGCGGGGTGAACATCATGAAGAACCGATGGGTGTTGACGACCAAGTACCGCATCGACGACACTGTCGAGCGCGAGAAGGCGAGGCTAGTCGTGAAGGGCTTCAGGCAGGTGTACGGCGCTGACTATGACGAGACGTACTCCCCGGTGAGCAGCTACGTCACGCTGAGGATCTTCCTCAGAATAGTTGCCGTCCTCGATCTCAACCTAATGCAGCTCGACATGAAGAATGCTTTCCTGCAGAGCAAGCTTGACAGGGTGCTCTACATGTACCAGCCGGACTATTTCAACGACGGGACCGACCGGGTGTGTAAGCTGCTGAAGAGCCTCTACGGGCTGAAGCAGTCGCCGCTGCTGTGGTACAGGGCTCTCTACGGTGTGCTGTTGGGCGCTGGCTGGAAGAAGAGCCAGGTCGACGAGGCACTCTACTTCAAGGTCGGAGACGACGGAGTGACCTGCTGGGTGCTGGTCTACGTCGACGACCTGCTTGCCGCTAGCAGAAGCACTGCGATGCTGAAGGAGCTGAAAGAGCTGCTGGAGGCCGCCTTCGAGCTACGTGAGATCTCACCAGTGGTGAAGTACCTTGGGCTGGAGATCTTGCGCGACAGGCCGGCCAGGAAGCTGTGGCTGCACCAGCAGGGCTACGCCGACAAGCTGCGCAGGCGCTTCATCGACGAGGAGCAGGGCGGTCGAGTCCCGAAGACGCCAGTCTCGGTTGACGCCTACGCTCAGCTGACGTTCGACGACGAGGAGGCTCAAGAGCGCGAGGAGGAGGAGTACCGGCAGAAGGTCGGCTCGCTGCAGTTTGCGGCGACGACGACCAGGCCGGACATCGCGTTCGCCTGCAGCAAGCTGGGGAGCGGCCTCACGGTGAGGAGCGACCAGCATTGGCGCGAGGTCGACCGCTGTCTCGCCTACCTTGCCGACACCCGCGACACTGCCCTGGAGTTTGGCGGTGGACCAGAATCGTTGGAGCTGATCGGCTACGTCGATGCCGACGACGCGGGCGACAAGCAGAACCGAACGAGCACGGGAGGCTACGTGTTCATCTACGGAGGGGCCGCAGTCTCCTGGTCGAGCTCGCGCATCAAGTGCGCGACATTGTCATCGACCGAGTCGGAGTACGTGGCGGCAACGGACGCCGGCAAGGAGGGGCGTCAACTTCGCTTCCTCCTTGCGGAATTCAAGCTGCTCGACGCTGGGAAGCCGACCATCCTCCGCGTCGACAACAAGTCGGCAATCACGGTCGCTGAGGGCATGGGGCTGATGGGCAACCTCAAGCACATGGAGCGACGCTACGCCTGGCTGCAGCACATGGTGAGGCGCGGGAAATTTGTGCTGAACTACATCCCTACCACCGAGCAGCCGGCGGACTTCCTGACGAAGGCGCTGCACTTTCCGGCTTTCAACCGGTGCTCTGTTGCCATCGGCCAAGTTCGCCTGGTGGACGTCGGCGACGGCGACGACGAGGTGCAGCAGTAGGTGCCGTGCCCTTCTGCACGGCTGGTGCGGTGACGGCGTGCAGTGTGGTGCACGCCGAGGACGAGTTTTCTCCGTGGAGTACTGCCGTGTGGGCTGGAGGCCCAAGCGTGAGCGCGGCAGGGGAGTGTTAACAGGAATGGAGTGTTGGCCCCGCCCTCGCTTGGGCAACGCCGACGACTTGGTCGGATGCACGGGAGTAGCAGCCGACCGTTCACAGTGGGATAGCTGCTCGACAGGTTACGTCGAGCTGCAGCGGACCACTGTGGTGTTACTGTCGACCAAGGAGCTCGACAGCTGCAACTGACTCGTTTGTGCGACGGGTGGGCCGTCCGGGAGGTCGACGAAGCAGTCCGTCGACCTACAGTTCGACCGGGAGGTCGACAGAGCAGTTCTGGTCGACGGAAGGGGTCCGTCGACCAGGGGGTAGCTCGATGGGAGTTGTGGTCGACCAGGAGCGCCTGGTGGTCGACCAGAGGGACCCAGTGGTCGACCGGAGGCACCTGGGGGTCGACCAGAGCACCAGGGGTCGACCAGGTCGACCGGGTAACCTGCTCGACGAGTTCTGCGAAGGCTCGCGAACGTCGTCAAGATCGCGATGGCGCAGGCGACTTCGGACTGGTATCCCGAAGTCGATGTGGCTCGTCAGGCGCAAACAACAGCCGACGGATGCCCAACGAGGCAAGTCGGGCCAATCGTCTGCGCACACCTGCGAGCGCGCGCACTGCTGTGTTCTACGGGGCACGCCGTCAACCTGCTTTGTTGGCAGGTCGCCCTTCTGCAGTGCTGGCGCGGCTCCTCTACGCAATGCTGGCAGGCGGTCGACCGAGCTGCGCTGGCGGTCGACCATGCTAGCTGCAGGGTTGTTAGGTGCCTGGTGTAGTCATTGTTGTCATTGCTTCTTTGATTATTCTGGATTCTTAACTTTGCTAGTGAAAACTCTTGCCAATTTCTCTCGTGAATGTGCAAGCACTAAAGAACCAAGCAAAGCTACGATCACCTTTAGTAGTTCGTGCCAACCCTGTAGTCTAGCTCACAACCGTTGTAGAGTGTATCTCCGCACCCCCAACCAATCCTCCTCCCCAACTCCTCTTCCCACTTCAGCTGCTGTTTCGGTTGCGCCACCGAGGGTTTCATCGCCTTCCTCAGCTTCTTTATATCCGCCCGCTCGCCTTTCTCACAGATTGTGGAGTAGAGCAGTCGCGTTCTTGGAGCGCCGAGTAAGCCGCGGGCCCTCCCATCTATGACTGCCATGGGTGAAGCGCGTCGAAATTCCACCGTTACCACGCTAGCATATTCCACCTCGCCTATGTTCCCTTTCTTGTCCACCGTCACTCTCCGACCATAAAGTTCACCGTTGCTCACATATTGCAACTAGTAGTAAAAGAACTCTCCTGGGCGGTAAGACGCAGAGCGGACCAGCCTCGTTTCCCTGAAAAAATCCTCCGCCGAAAGTTGGTTGAGTACCAGATCCTTCCATCCCTGTGGTGTCGCATCCCACGCCTTTAGGGCCCATTTCCTCTGCTCCACACCTCCCAATTCCCTCTCCAAAACCTCATCGCTCTTACGAGATCTGCTGCCATCTCCTCCTTTCGCCACCAAGTCCCCCAGTCGGATGCCCTTCAGGTAAAGAGAGCCCGCCTGGTTTCCGAAAGGTGATAAGCCTCTGAAGAAAATACTGCGATTGAAAAGTAACTGCTCCTCCTCTGCGTCCCACCTGTGTGCCGGATCACCTATGGTCACCAGTTTTGAGTCCCACAGCGCTTTAATAGTGGCTTTCCATCTCGTGCCTCCCCCCAGCCAGGACTTCAGGACTGAAGGATGCGCGTAAATCGTGGCCAAGTCGAGGGGAAAAGCCGCCGCCCTCTCCCATAACCAGTTCCGAAGTGGCTCCTGCTCCACCAGGGCCTTCCCCAGTCCTTGGATCACCATGCTGTCAATTCGGTGCTTCAGATCAATCACACCCAGTCCCCCCTCTTTCCGTCCTCTGCACGACAGTTCGTAACTCCATAGCGTGAAGTGTCTGTCGAGGAGCGCTTTCCCTCCCGAGATGAAATCATGACATAGCCTCTTCACTTTGGTCCAGACCTCGTACGGTGGGGCGTAAATCTGCGCCTGGAAGAGCAGGATCGGCATCGCGTAGCTGTTTATGATTGTAACCCGTGCCGAGGTTTTGAGATGTCTAGTCTCCCAGCAGCTTAGCACCGCGCTAACTTTTTCGAAAGCCTTGTCCCATGCAGGTCCCGGTGAGCCTCCATAGGTGATCCAGATTCCGAGCAACCTTTCAGACGTGTTCTTCTCCGCCCACTTGAAAGACGACGCTATCGGCTTCAGCCTCATTTGATTTTTTCCCAGTGGCATCAGTGTGGTCTTATCAAGATTCACCTTCAACCCTGAGATTTCCGCGAACTCCCCCAATAGTTTCTCAGCAACCGCCACATGTTCCTTGCCCTTCAGGACCAGTGTCGCGTCGTCTGCGTATCCAATGTAGTCTAAACTCCCTTTCACACCCCTCTTCCTGACCCCCAGTTTCCTCCGTTCTATTTCTTGGCAGAGTGGCTCAACCGCGCAGAGGAAGAGATATGGGGCGAGCGGGCAGCCCTGACGTACCCCTTTGGCCATCACCACCCGTTCCCCTATCCAGCCGTTCAACAGCACCTTGGTTGCCGTTCCATCGTGAAGACCCTTCACCCATCTTGTGAACTTCCCCGGAAAGCCCATGCTGCCCAGCGTCGAGAAGAGGTATTCACGTGATACCGAATCGTAAGCTTTCTGAAAATCAACCAACAATAGCAGCCAGTCCTCGTCCTCCTGCTCCGCAGCGTCGATCGCATCTGCTACCAGAGAGACAGCGTCAGCGAGACTCCTCCCCGGAAGAAAGCCGAACTGGTTGCTGGAGATCACTCTCGGTAAGACCACCTTGATTCTATTCGCAAAAACCTTCGCCAGTAATTGGCCGGTAATTTCCCAAATTGTCCCTGTCTCCTTTTTTTGTGCAGAAGGATCGTAACCGCCGTCGTGAAGGACTCCAAAAGCACACCCGTTGATTCGAAAGTCCTAACTCCCCTCATCACCGCCGGGCCCAACAGCTCCCAATTTCTTTTGAAAAATTCTTTCGGCAAGCCGTCCTGCCCCGGGGCCTTCCCCGTCGGTAAGCCTTTAAGCGCCGCCTTCACCTCTTGCTCTGACCATTTGCTGTCCAGCTGCAAGCGATCACTCTCCTGCAGTGTCTTTCCCTCTTCAATCGGCCACGGCTCCACGGGAGAGGACATCGGAGACAGCGCGTAGGCCTCCCGGAAATGCTCCGAGGCCGCTTGGAGCACCTCGCTTGCTCCCTTCCTCAACACCCTTTTGAAAATGAGTTCCGCTACTTCGGTTTTCGCTTTTCTGGACTTGATGGAGTCTGATGGAGTCTCACCCGCCAGCTCTTGCAGCAACCCCGTCAGAAAACACAGTTAACGAGCCCAAGCCTGTACCAAGTACAAGTGTCACCTGGCAGACACATCCCTTATCTGGTCTGCAACAGCCCACGTCAGCAAATTGTGGCCATCGATTGTGCACGAAAATTGCTCTGGATGTGCATCATGAATCTGGAGGCGATTTTTAACACGGTACAATTCCGCTGTCGCGTTACAAAAAGATCGGTCATACACTTACTGTATTTTTTTTGCCCGCGGGTAGCGAGCTCCCCTGGGCGGACTCGCTTGTCCGCTGAGATATATTCTTCGGATGGCATGCCATCCGATGGGGGTTTAGTTTTTTGGCTGCCCAGGGCAGCAGGTCGACAGGTCGACACTGGTCGACAGGCTTGTCGACCTGATTCCGCTGAGATCTTCCACACACAACGCAACGCAAGACCTGAACTGAGCTGCAAATTGCAACGCAAACTGGGGACGGTTCTGCCTGGTGTACCCACTCCATCGAAATACCCAGCAACTCAAAGCCTGGAATCGCTTAGCGCACTTAAATCTGTGTGCCTAACCGACAACAACGCGCCTCCAATGATACAAGCTGGAGCGTCGAGCAAACGGTTCTAAGCTAAACTACGTTACAACTGTACTGCTCTGTGTGAAATCGCCTCTTTTATCTCACTGTTCAACCAGCAGCCGTTTGTCTATCCCTCGCCCCCACTCACCACTTGTGTTTGTGGCTCAGCTTTGCGTAGGCCGAAGCTAGCGCGCTCCACTAATGAGCGGCGCACGTAGGTCAGCGGCCGCGCGTGGTCCTGTAAACTTGGCAGCATCTGAAGTAGTACGTCAGTGAGGAAACATCGCAGAAATGGCTCCAACCAGGTTTTATGGACGACGGTGTCTGTCGCGGCGACGATTCACGGGAGTCGTGCAGGTGGGATGAGATGGGATCGGAAACCCGACATCGGCGAGAGAACCGAAGGTCAGGGTGCGCCACTCTGTGTGGTTTCGGAAACGCGCGCACCGCACCGAAGCGTTCAGGGTGTGAGCGAAGAGGATATGACGTGGCACGACCCCTCGAGACTCCACCACCACCACACCCTGAGTCCTGACCCTCGCCCGCCCATACTGAAGGCAGAGCTCAGCAAATCAGCTGACAGCCATTCACCCATCACCACCACCCGACATTACTTCTTGGCCACAATAAGCGAGTGTTAGCAGTATTAGTGCAGTTTGCCCAGCTCGCGCCTGCCACGGTGAGCTAAACCCAACCTTCGTGTCTCCACGAAGCATTTCGACGCGTACTGCGGAGGAATAATCGAGCTTAGCTCAGAGCATTCCCTTCGTTCACTGTGATGGCCCCACGACCCAATACCTCCACAGTCCTTAGAAGCAGCTCCGCGCAAGTCACTGCGGTAATTGCGCTGCTTCTCGCGCTGTCCGCGGTGTGTACGAGGCCCGTCGCGGCGTCGTTCTGCGCCGAGTACGTGAAGGCCTTCAAGAGCCCCACGCTCCCGTCCGTCGATGATATCGTCCTCACCGCGTACACGGTACGTGAAACGCACGCAACCCTAAAAGCTCGCGACTCTAAACGCGCGCTCACCATTGACAGTCACTCACAGGATGAGAAACGCACGCTTGCGAGTGAAACTCTCAACGTACAACCATTGAACCCCTTTCTAGTCGCCGCGGCTTCTATTTCAGCGATCGCCGCGTGCACGTCAGCGCATCGCACAGTCACAGGTGACCTCATAGCCTTGCCGTTTCCCCCCCTTGACGTTCTTCTGACTCTCGCGACACCTACATTTGCGGGCTCGCACTCCTACGCCCGAAACCCGCCGCCGCCGCCTCTACTAGTAGTAGTGATTCTTGATCCACCCTCTCTGTTGATTTCCAACTTCGCCAACCTTCCACCAGCCTTGTTGCCTAACCGCGTGCAGGGCCGGTGGTACGAGATCGGGTCGACGGCGGGGTTCCGATTCACGTTCGAGCTAGGGCTGACGTGTACCACGGCCAACTACACGGCGAAGGGGGTCACGCCCAGCGGCCGCAACAAAGTCAAGTGAGTCCTGGGTGGCATGCAAGCAAAGCGCCAGCCTTGAGCGACGGCGGTGATTGTGCTGAGAAACAAACGCGGTGCATGTGCATGTCCTTGGCCACAAATTCTTGGATATCATCACGTGAATCAGTCAAAATTGTTAGCTTTGCTCCTGACAAGTCAATCAACCAGTTGCGCAATCACATGCCATTCTGGCTTCCATCTCAAGTATCTGTTTCCTTCCTTACCCGGCCGCCTTCCCTCACTTGTTTGCGGTTTCTTCCTCCCTGCATCGAACTGTCTCGCCCATCTTCCAGGGTGGTAAATCGTGGCAGGCGCAGCGTTGCTCTCCCGCGTCGCTCGCAGATCTTCACCACCTCGTTAAATGCCAACCGCATTGCTAGCAATCTCAGGATCGTCTGTGGGGCCGCTAACGCCGCCACCACAGCGAGCGCTCAAGCACAGACCTTTCTCTCCGTAAACGCAGCCGCAAACAGCAGCGCTGAATCCCTCGCTGCAGCCGATAAACTCACTGCATTCGCCACGTCGGTGTCCTCAGATGCCGAGATTATCGACAATGCCTTGAGAGATTTTCAGACGGAGGCCGACAAGCTGAACAAACGCGGGCAGCCCAAGGGATTTAGTGCTTCCAAAAGCAAGATGCTCAAGTCCATCTCCAACATCCAGGGCGCCGCCGGGCGAATTCTCCAAGCGGCTTTCACCGGGAAGACCGCGGCCCAGGGGCTGTCTGGAGCCCTAAGAGCCATGGGTGGGCAAGGAGCAGAGACCGCTGCGAACGGGGTACGTGGGAGCTGAATCCAGCATGCTGCTCTCCTTGGGATCAGCTTGGGTGCAGTTGCTGCCTTGCTGTACCTGGTGCCGCCGGCCAGAAGTTTGGTTTGCTCACGTGCTCCAGTGTTCTGTGTGCGTTTACCCATGTGTGACACATATGCAGCTGGGGTCGCTGGTGGGAAACACAAGGATAATGTTCGCGGCTACCAGCATTGTGCGGCTCGCCACAGTCATGGTTGCACCCACAGTTGCCATGGTGCCATCGCCTCTCAGAAGCCTTTCACAAGGCTTCATTCGCGGCAAGGCTTTGCAAAGCAAGAAGAATGTAAGCTTTCCAGGCCTGCCTTGTTCTTGAAGAGGTGCTGGCTCCCTTTCGTATCTCCCCTTTGGACTCACACTCGTGTTTTTTTATCGTCTGGGTGCAGCCGGGCCGGCTCTCTGTGACATTCTTTGGCCCAGCGCCAACAAAGCCCAACTACTCTGTGTTTAACGTGCAAGGAGATGCATTGGGATACACACAAGCAACTGTGATTGACACAAGTGGAGGCGAGGTAAACCTGTTTTTCCTTTTTCCGTGTTGATGCTTTACAATCATTGTGGAGATACTAATCTTTCTTGGTAATGCTTGACCACTGCAGGCCACTATCTGGCTTCTGGCTCGCACACCAACGATTCCGCAATCTGAGATAGATGCTGCGTTGGCGCGTGTTACTGATGCTGGAGTACGGCTAACAGGAGCCAACGCATTCTTGCTCACTGACCAGACTACAAGTTGGTGCACCAAATATTGGAGCACATTGAGATGATGTTTTATTGGTACACTTGTTTGCTCTTATGTATCCTGGGAGCCTAATGTGTCGTAATGAGCCACAGATTGTAGTTGAGGCCTTCCCACTCACACGTGTGCAATCCACAACAATCCCCGTCAGCACTTCAGAAAGTACAATTGCGGTCATCGATTCCCCGACGGTGCCCGAAGCGATCTAGATTGTGGTCGCTCGAGTTAGAAGTTTGACGCGCTTCAGAGCTTCGAATGAAGACATGTTTCGTCACTGCGGAACATTACCGCCTGGAAATTCGTGGCGTAGCGTGCTTGTGTGCCTGCCAGTGCTGCAGACTCCAGCCAGAGCAGACTCCAGCCCAGCGCACTCTGCTTGGACTCTGATTCGATCATTCACTACAGTATCACCAGCCACCAATTCCGCATCGCCTTACGGTGGGCCCCGAAGAAGGCGAAGCGCGCGTAGGGGCGGTGGAATTGGTTCGTGGTCGTCATCACACGCCAGACGCCAGCAAAAAGGGGGCAACTCCACATCAGCACGCAATTAGCCAATGACAAGTCCCTCCTAACCGAACTCACACAATAGTGAATGCTGGGCGAAATTCAGACATGCGGTGCGGATCGGTGTACTGAATATCACACGAAATGTAGCGCGGATAGTGTGAGCAAAGGTGAAACATAAACACTCGTCGCTTCACAAGTCCATTCACCGCATAACATACCAGACCAAAGCACCTCCTTACCAGTGATTTGTGATTGACAGTTATCCAGCCATTCCCATCGACGCTGGGTGCTGACTTTCCGACTAGACTACAAGACGCGTCGGTCACACCTGCAACTTCTGAGCTGACCGTAAGGCTGTCGAGCGATGGCTGCTCGCAGGTTGGCGCAAGTTACGGCGGCTGTTACGCTGCTCCTCGCACTTTCTGCGCTTGCACCCGCCTCCGCGTCGTTCTGCGCCGACTATCTTGATGCCTTCAAATGCCCCAAGCTCGCGTCCTTCGACACTGTTGACATCTCGGCTTACACGGTATGTGTAACCTCGTACTACAAATATTGTTCGCTTTTTCGCGTGGATCAACCGACATCTGCTCGTAAAAGCGGCACGCGGAGCGTCTGAGTTGGGCCTCCGCGACGGTTTGGCGCTGGCCAGACCATCAGGCCACCGCGGTCGACTGATGTGGACAAGACGTACAGGAAGCAGTCGCCTGATAACTTTCGCATTTCGATTTTAGCGATGTCGGTGCGTGA